AAATTGATCACGTTGTGATAGACGGAAGACATGCGTCCAGTGTCTTGGATGTACGTACTATCCGAGGAACCAACATCGACTTGGATCATTATCTTGTTGCAGCCAAGATCCGCACACGTTTATGTGCGATGAAAAAGGTACGTGAGTAAGCACAGCGAAAGCTAGACGTCGAAAAACTGCACTGCAATCAAACAGACAGCTAATGACTTCGCTACTCGATTCTTCCAATATCTGGAAAATTTGTCTGAAGATGCCAACATATGCGCGCAATGGAACCACATCTCCAACTCTATGAGTACCGCTGCAGATGAGGTGATCGGCTATCACCGTAGACAAAGAAATAGCTGGTACGACCAAGAGTATCGCGACGCTACCGCAGAGAAAGATGCTGCATATCAAACCACCCTGCGGTCAGTTGCTAAAGAACGATATCGGCAAACGAGAAGGGAAGAGAAACGTCTTTTCAGGCGAAAAAAGAAGGAAACAGAAAAACGTGAGTACGAAGAGCTTGAGAAGCTGGGCGACAGGAATATGGCTCGAAATTTCTCTCAAAAAATTTAAAGCCTGACAAATGGTTATAATCGTGGAGTTAATTCCTGCAAAAATGTAAACGGTAATCTGGTGATAAATGCCCAAACCGTGCTTAATATTTGGAGCGATCACTCTCGAAACTACTAAATATGGTAATGTGACTGAAAGCGAAGATTATCCCGAATTTTCAATCGTTGACGAAGAAATAATCATCCCGCATCCCGATTATAATGAAGTTAAAACAGCTATAACGAGGCTCAAAAACAATAAAGCTGCCGACACCGATGTACTTCTGGCTGAGTTGTTTAAAGCTGGTGGCTCAATTTCTTTTGATAAAATTAAGGAGACCAATAAAACTAGCCTTAACAGCATAGGACATGGGACAATAACAACATTAGGAACCATCACCTTCGATTTGAGAGTTAGAAATACTCTAATAAAACACAATTTTCATGTGGTGGAAAATTTCCCAATCCCAACAGATGGTATAATAGGATTGGATTTTTTGAAAAAGTACATCTGTGTACTTGATTATCAAAACAACGGAGATTGGATCATAATGAGACTAGACGATTACCCAGAGTATATTGCAATTCCAGTACGCAATGCATCAAAATGCAATGCTTTAGCATTGTCAGCCAGGTCTCAAGTGATACGGAGTATCAAAATAGAACCTACGTCAGAAGACATATTAATCTCAAATCAAGAATTAACCAAAGGGATACTACCATAGTCAATACATCAAATCCATTTGTTAGAATAATAAATACTACAAATGAAAATGTTGTTATTGAGAATTATCAAATCAAAACACAAAGATTACACTATCACGAATGCATAGCATCTAGTGAATCCCATCATTACTCAAAAAAAAGAAGAAAAATTGGAAAAATTATCAAAATATTTTCCACAGTTTGTTAAAGACAAAGTAAAAACCCTATGTAAAAAATATATAGATATTTTTGCATCTGAAACAGAGATAATTTCAGTCAATAATTTTTATAAACAAAAATTAGGATTAACGGATGACGAACCCGTTTATATTAAAAACTATAGAATACCGCATAGCCAAAAAGATGAAATCTACAGACAAATAAATAAATTGATTAAAGACAATATAATAGAACCTTCAGGTTTAGCCTATAACAGCCCAATTCTATTAGTACCGAAAAAATCTTTGCCTGGTACAAATGATAAACGATGGAGACTAGTAGTGGATTACAGGCAAATAAATAAAAAACTTATCGCCGATAAATTTCCCTTGCCAAGAATTGACGACATCTTAGATCAATTAGGTAGAGCAAAATATTTCTCTTGTCTGGTTTTCATCAAATTGAACTTGATGAAATGTCGAGGAATATTACGTTATCAAAATGCATGCTACAGCTAATTCGCAACATTTGGTCGGATGAATGCATTTCCAACGATTGAAATTTAAGTGTGCTTTGCCCAATCCACAAAAAAGGTGATCCTGCGATCCGTTTGATTCCAAACGAGGTTTCAGACAGGGTGACTCCTTGTCGTGGGACTACTTTAACCTAATGTTGGAAACGATAATTCGAGAAGCAGATTAAAGCCGCAAAGGCACAATATTCTATAAATGTGCAATGCTACTTGCGTATGCCGATGTTACTGATGTCATTGGTCTGAACACCCGCGTAGTCAGTGCGGTATTTTCCAACTTATAAAAACAAGCAAAGCAAATGGGTCTTGTGGTAAATGAGGACAAAACAAAGTATTTTCTGTCAACAAACAAATCTCCTGAGCATCTTGAGACCCACATCACTGTTGACAATTATAAGTTAAAAGTTGTGAAAAACTTTGTTTATTTAGGAATCAGCTTAAACACCAAAAATGTTGTCAGCCAAGAAATTCAACGAAGAATTACTCTTGCAAACAAATGTTACTTCGGGCTAAGTAAGCAGTTCAAAAATAAGGCCCTCTCTCGACAAACAAAAATCACGCTCTACAAATTTCTTATCATGCCTGTCCTGCTGTATAGTGCAGAAGCCTGGACAGTTAGCAACAGTGATGCGAAGGCGTTAGGAGCATTCGAGAGAAAAATTCTTCGAAGATCTATGGTCGCTTACGCGTTGGCGACGAGTATCGAATTAGATGGAACGATGAGCTGTATGACCTATGCCGCGACTTTGACGCTGACTTGATCATGTCGTGCGGATGGAAGAAATTGCTTTGGATAGAAAAGTATTTGATTCGGTATCCGCAACGGGAAGACGTTGTAGAGGATGTCCGCATCTTCGGTGGAAGGATTGGGGGGCGCTCGGTACTACCAACTGGCGTCAGAAAGCAACTAATTGGGCTGACTGGGGGAGGCTATTCGACAAGGTCAAGCACTATCCACGTCTGTAATAGCCAACTACGTAAGATAGTAATATATAAATACTTTTTCAATAATGAAGGTTCACGTCAAACTATAATACCATATATTAATATTTAATAATATTAATAATATTAATATTTAATTTTTAAATTATATTTGTACAATTTTACATAATGCAGTTTTGATTTGCACTCTAAATTTTACAAAATAATTTCGAAAAAATATTTTTTTTGACTTATAAATAAAAATCACTATTTCAATATCAATATCAACCAACGAGCAAAAAAATTGGAACAAAATCACGCAATTCATCGGAAATGTTTTAAGGGAAAAGAAGAAAGATCTGGACGCAACCTAATCTAAAACGAAAAGCAGGAATGAGAGCCGGAGCACATACTCTGACATTAAAAAAAGTAGACTGTAGGGCAAGATTAATTATCTGCAACAGTAGCGGAGTAATACCAACGTAGTCCTGGGGTAGAACAAGGTCTCTAGGAATGAAGGGGAGTGGTTTAGCCCGTGCGAGTCGGGCACTCACATTACGGGGCACCGCATTGTGGTCAGTGCGTAGGCATTCCACTCCTCCTTGCCGCAAAAAATAAACAAAAACAACAAAAAATATCAATATCAATATCAATATCAATATCAATATCAATATCAATATCAATATCAATATCAATATCAATATCAATATCAATATCAATATCAATATCAATATCAATATCAATATCAATATCAATATCAATATCAATATCAATATCAATATCAATATCAATATCAATATCAATATCAATATCAATATCAATATCAATATCAATATCAAATATCAATATCAATATCAATATCAATATCAATATCAATATCAATATCAATATCAAGATCAAATATCAAGGTCAAATATCAAGATCAAATATCAAGATCAAATATCAATATCAATATCAATATCAATATCAATATCAAATATCAATATCAATATCAATATCAATATCAATATCAATATCAATATCAATATCAATATCAATATCAATATCAATATAAATATCAATATCAATATCAATATCAATATCAATATCAATATCAATATCAATATCAATATCAATATCAATATCAATATCAATATCAATATCAATATCAATATCAATATCAATATCAATATCAATATCAATATCAATATCAATATCAATATCAATATCAATATCAATATCAATATCAATATCAATATCAATATCAATATCAACATCAATATCAATATCAATATCAATATCAATATCAATATCAATATCAATATCAATATCAATATCAATATCAATATCAATATCAATATCAATATCAATATCAAAATCAATATCAATATCAATATCAATATCAATATCAATATCAATATCAATATCAATATCAATATCAATATCAATATCAATATCATATCAATAGCGTCTATGTATTTGTGTAAATATGTGTATTAATGTGAGATATAAATAAAATATATAAAAGAATATTAGTCTGAAATATATGATTAAGTATAATGTGAATCTAATCTGAATATGAAGTGAAGGGAAATAATTTACTTAAGAAAATTCTGAAATTGTGATGCATTCAATGTTTGTTTTTCTGGTTAATGTGCTGGCACCTATAATTAATGAGTCAGTTCATGCCGCAAAGGTTGTGGATAAAAGAGTTCATTTCAAAGCTTGTACTGAGGTTTTTCATACTCGAGCTGCTGGCAATGGATGACAAATAGAATGAAAGGAAATCCATTGGGTAGAACTAAAGCACTAGCAATTATTGGCAAAGCAATTCTGCATTGACCAAACAATAAGTAAACATCACAATAATTTTAGTTAATTTTACAAATTATTTGCAACTAATAATTTAGAGAAGACGTTCGCTCGTTGAAGTCCAAATTTGCCTCAATCAGTTCCACTTGTGTAAATACTCATACTTTTGTGAATGACTGCATGCCTAGAATGAGTGGCCGAACAGTTTGCGAAATGCGATACTTAAGAATAATGCATTTGGTATGCTGAAGTGAAGTTTATGCTTTTAATGACCTAGCAAACCTGTTTATTCCAACACTTATTGATTCTCGTGTAATTAAAATTAATTACTAATAATATTAACATTGAAAACATTTAACCGTCAGGTTGGCTTGTGCGCACATGAATACTTAGTAAATTCCACACTTCAGTTCCTACGATATGTCGCTAAAATATTCGCTAACTTTTTCAGTAAGTTTGAATATTTACATCATATCGATTGCTTGCATATTTATTTAAAAGGTTTGAATTTTGTGTTTAAACTCAGCTATTAGCATGGCTTGTTTTGGCAGCCGCTGCAGAGGTCAATACGCAAACGGAGAATACAGATGACAACATAGAGTCGTCGAAAGATAAGTATGATTTAGAGTAAGTGAAACATATTTTAAACCTTCATTACAAAGCGATTATTATTTAACATAACATATTTGTACCAGAATTGATTTCGATGACTTTAGTTTCCGAAAAGAAGTTACTGAGGACTCATTTCTGGCAGGATACATAAGTACAAATTTTAAAGACGCGGACTCGTCTTCGTTATGGATATATAGAGCGGATAAGAATGGTTTTTTAGTAAAGATTTCCTACCGAATTAATCTTGAAATTGATTTGCGAATAGGCGGTCCACCAATTCAATCATTAAGCCCAAAACTTTTACGAACAACTGTTGGTTGAATATTAATCAAAAATAGTTTATTGAAAATAAATAAATTTCAGTTTGTAGTTTGTGAAAAGTGTAAATATAAAATTAAATAAAGATATGTAGAAAAATTTGTTAAAAGTGACTGCACTGAAAGACGTCTAATAATCTATACAACATATAACTTGCATAAACTCTATTATCGTTTTATGTTAACATAGGTATTACGAATTGATAGATGGCAATCAGGTTACCATTAAGGAATGTATAGCAGATGTCTAGTAAATAGCAACAATTTCTAACGTAATTCAAAGTTTCAGTGTATATTTGTCATTCTTTTACAAACCGGACGGATTTTGGCAAAAAATGACCTCATGATCTCCGATTTGGCTGAAATTCTCGGGAAAAAATTTTGTGATTTTTTTTCTAGGAGATATGGACCCATGGGGTTTTGAGAACTGGCATAGTAGACACATTTTCAAATGGCTATATCTCAAGTTCTGTAAAAGGTAGAAACTTACAGCGTTTCAAAGAAAATTGATTGAACTTTTATGAAATTGTTTAAACAATTAAAATTGTTTATATTTAAGTACTAATATTAACTATTAAATTTCAAAAAAAAATTTTTCTTCAAATATATCCCCTGGGATTCCATTTTTTATATTTTATTTAGATTTAGTTTTAAATTTTATTACGAAATAAAAATTTTTAGGATGCGGTTATTTTTTGAAATTTTTTAATATTTTTTTTTCTCCCGCAAAACACATCAAGCACATGCGTACTACATTTCCATTGAATGAATTTTCAAAGAATATACTACATATATTCTTATATAATATTTTTGATTTCGATTAGTAATAAAATTCTACATAAAACCCAAAAATTTCAGGACGATATTGTAATTAGAAGTACTTTTAAAAATTTATTTATCCTTCATATCACACCAAACACATACACACGATTTTTCAGTAAAAAAAAAGGCATATGTCACACAAATTTTTTTTTTTAGTTTTAATTCAAATTAATATATAAATTCTACTTCAAAAATAAATATTTCGACTGTGATATTCATTTTAGAAGTAATTAAAAAAAATTAATTAATTAGGTGTCCTTCACGTTACTCATACGCACCAAAGTACCATGAAATCAATTTTCTAAGGAAAACTATACAATAACTTTTACTTTTTATTTCTTAATTAAATGTATACATAAAACATAACCTTTTAAATTAGTTCTGCATCATTTTTGTTTTTAAATGATGAATTTTAACATAATTAAACCCTTTAATAAACTTTTTTCTTATATAGGTGAAGTTAATTAGTTTCATACTAGCCGAACTACCTAGAAAAGTGCAGCACATAATCACACCTGCTATTTTGCTACAGTTGGAAAAATACTCTGCACAGGTAAAAAATGTTATAGGAAAGAAACTGTAAGGAGCTAAAAACAAAATATTTTTTTTATGGTTTTTACAATGATTTTATTAGTTCTCATTTCATTATTGATACATAATCTGTAATGTCTGAAGAAGAAAATATTTTTGCCAATAATACTTTTTTGGAATTTGGAATAAAGCAGTGATATTTTAATGTGCCTTTAACTGATGTAGCTGCTTCAAAGCGGTGTTTAATCTTATTTTCTTCTACTTCATAGTCTTTTAACGTTGAGAAATGGCACACAATATTTGGTAAACATTCCTTAGCCCAGTTAAATAATTTCTTTGGTGTTTGGATTGGATTATTTATTCGTTGAAGGCTAGCTCTTGCAGCATTCCTCTTTAAGGTACCAGCTAAGCCGTCGCATGGTCCTTTGCCGTGTGACGTTGGAAAAAAGTCCCATTCTGCTTCCAAACCAAAGTCCGCTTTGTGATGAGTTAAATTAATAAAATTTTCTTTATTTTTATATTGTGAACCCGATCCATCGGAAAACTAAATAATTTTTTTAATATCCGTACTAATTTTTTTAATGAATTTGATAGCGTATTTCTGGAACAAATGTACAGCAGTTGGTTGTGATGTAAACAGTCAGATATGCAAACAAAATTTTTTATTTGTAGTTTTTTATTTTCATCACGGTGGTATATTGCAAAAATATGAATTGTTGCCTGATTATTATTCCAGTGAATACCTTGAACAGAGTGTACGCTACTTGGTGCTAACCCAGATCCTTAATCTGTGTTAGCTTGGTAGCCAATTTTTATGTGTAAAGTAGTTTGAGCACTTGTAACCCAAACTACTTGTATTTTCTATGTTGATTAGTTTGAGCACTTGAAACCCAAACTAATCGATGCGAGAAAGTAAGAAAGTTATAATTGATTTTTCTTTTCCTTCTGAACTTTATTAACATTATTTCTTATATTTATACAAAATTATTTTATTAACAAGCTATTAAATTATGCATTAATTGACAATAAATATTAATGCATAATTCACAAATAAATAAATTTGCCTACGCTGTGCTGACATAATTATAGGCCAACATATTACACACTTTCTTCAGTGCATTGACCAACAAGAAAAGCTGATAATGCAAAATTGCACTTCTCGTTGGTCAATGACTGGTCGCAGTGTTGGCCCAAATAATATGTAAACACATGTAACCAAATATCATAAAAAATAAAAATATAAAATAATATTAATTAAATGCAAACATAAACACAGAGTTTTGAACAACAAAAGTATAATTTTCGGAAAAATCACGCAAAACTATGCATTCAGTTTTTGTTAAGTTGCTTTTCTTATCAATTAAAAACTCTGTTTTTTAACGATAAAAGAATGCAACAGCAATTTGTCTAAACCATCTGTTAAGGATTACAAATATTCGTCTATTTGGGATATCAACGTTTTTAATGTGCTTCTCTCTTCACGATCCCATTGTTTGTATTTAACGGTGTCAATCATGTTGTCATCAAATATCTCCAGAAGTTGTTCATTGATATTTTCAGTTCCAGGACATTTGGCGCAGGTTCCTAGAAAACATTCTGTGCGTGAAGTATTGCAAATCATGCGCTGTAGGCAATCTTTATAGTTATTTATCGGCATTCTACTGCATGCAGTCAGTGCTTTTATATTCACTCCATATACCATTAATCGTACGTTTTTGTGTATGGAGCACTCACAAACTGAATATGTGCTACTTGCTCCTGCAAGAACGCAATGTTGTGGTCGTTAAGATGCAAATTTTGCAACTCCTTCAAATTGTTTAGAATGGACCGTTTTCGCATTTGTGTTCTTTATCCGTCAATTTGTAAGGATACGTAGATTTTTTTCCCAGGCCTTACTTGACTGTTTTCTTCACATTCGTAAAAATTTAAAATTCTATTGGTTACATATTTTCCTAGCGGTGGCTTTTTGGATTTAGGTCTTCTAAGATTCATTTCTCTGAAGTAAGTTTTTTAGCAACAGTAGTCATACATTTTGTAGCGTTTGAGAAGTAAGTCGTGACCCTTTCGGATAGACCAATTATGTATCACACCCACTATTTTTATTTTCATAGTTCTATCTGCTGTGCCATTAAAATTTTCCTGCAGATTTTTTAAAATTGATGCGAGTCATCTTCTTCATTGCTATTCTTAGAGTTATCCGCAGGAATATTAAAAATTTTAAATTTGTGATTTATTTATTCAATAAAAATACTTTTGAGAATACTAACGTCCTTAAAAGTTTCATTTTTATGTAGAAGTTAATGATATTTGTATAGTTTTCCTTCGAAAATTGATTTCATGGTACTTTGGTGCGTATGAGTAACGTGAAGGACACCTGATTAATTAATTTTTTTTAATTACTTCTAAAATGAATATCACAGTCGAAATATTTATTTTTGAAGTAGAATTTATATATTAATTTGAATCAAAAATAAAAAAAAAAATTTGTGTGACATATGCCTTTTTTTTTTACTGAAAAATCGTGTGTATGTGTTTGGTGTGATATGAAGGATAAATAAATTTTTAAAAGTACTTCTAATTACAATATCGTCCTGAAATTTTTGGGTTTTATGTAGAATTTTATTACTAATCGAAATCAAAAATATTATATAAGAATATATGTAGTATATTCTTTGAAAATTCATTCAATGGAAATGTAGTACGCATGTGCTTGATGTGTTTTGCGGGAGAAAAAAAAATATTAAAAAATTTCAAAAAATAACCGCATCCTAAAAATTTTTATTTCGTAATAAAATTTAAAACTAAATCTAAATAAAATATAAAAAATGGAATCCCAGGGGATATATTTGAAGAAAAATTTTTTTTGAAATTTAATAGTTAATATTAGTACTTAAATATAAACAATTTTAATTGTTTAAACAATTTCATAAAAGTTCAATCAATTTTCTTTGAAACGCTGTAAGTTTCTACCTTTTACAGAACTTGAGATATAGCCATTTGAAAATGTGTCTACTATGCCAGTTCTCAAAACCCCATGGGTCCATATCTCCTAGAAAAAAAATTACAAAATTTTTTCCCGAGATACGGGTCTTCTTATTTTATGAAAGGAGCTCATAAAAATTTCAGCCAAATCGGAGATCATGAGGTCAAAAAGGTGTCCGAGTTGTAAAAGATTGACCCATATGCAACTTTTCTTTAATTAGTAGAAATTACAATTCTTTATTCTTTACGTTGAACTTTTTTGCTCTGTTTGACGTTTTTGGAGCTATGGAGCAGTTTTTTGTAGCGCTTTAACTTTTGTTTATTTCGACTGAAACTGTGTAAAAAAGGAATATTTTTCCTTAGTTAAAATAACGAAAAAAACATAAGAGAGACTACCAAGTTTCCAGCACTACAGTGTGTCAAAGAAATCCTTATAAAAAACAAACACATCATATCAATTACAATAGGCCTTTTCGGTTGCTCGCAACTATGGCACAAAATGCATGCTGGCCTATATTGGCTACGCGAGCCAATCTGTCAAGTGTTATGTTTTGCCAAATAGCAAATATAGCATAATGCAAGCAAATTACATTTTGTATAAAAATAAATAATTAACATAGATTGAAAATTAAATTGAATACAAATTAAAAGGAATGGTAAAAATGTTGAAAATTTCAAAATAAAATTTTTCTTTGCAATTTCCAA